TGACTAAGAAAAGTAAGCTGATCAAGAAAATAAAGGAAATCTACCCTAGAACGCTGATTTCACTTACAAATGCACACGCCGTTCATGGTAGGCCCACACCAAAAGATGTGCAGCAGTACTAAGAGACCGTTCATTTTTTATCAGGGGGGGAGGGGTCGGTGGAATTTAGGAGGGTCAGAAAAATAAAACAGGCCCTGTGAGGGAGAGACATTTTTGGAGTCCAAAGGGGGAGGCAGGATAAAGATACTCTAGAAAATAAAAAGAATTGTGTTTTAATCTTATGTATATATCAACTCAGTGTATACATTTTCAGGCTTCTTTTTTTTGTGTATTCAACTATAAGTACATATCATACTAGCAAAATACCTTATTTTAATTAGAAAGACGAGAACCGAACTATATAATAAAATTCAGGTGCATCTTATACGGTGCATTTTTGTTTAAAAGTGTTAGAAATAGACTGTGAGATTAATTTTACCTTGTACTTTAAACTTTTTTGCACTACAAAAACTACAAAAACGGAGTTACCTGGCCAAACGTGAAGGATGTACTTCATCTAGGAAGCGGGTAAATTTATTTTTAGTTTTCAATACATTTCTTTGTATTTTTCACACGCGTCACGCGCTGATGACCCCGGAAATTACAAGGAAATGTATTGGGAACTAAAAATAAGTTTACTCGCTCTCTAGATCAAGTACGACCTTCAAATTTGGCCATTTAACTCCTTTTTACAGTATCTAAAATTTGCAACTGATAACTTTTTCCGAATTTGAATTCAGCGGGAATTATTTGACATCAATTTCCAGATCTATGATTAGCATATGTCGCAATCGCGGGAAGACACGAATTCTAGTGCTCCTGCAATCGGCGCTAATATGATTTCTCTTGAACAGGTTAAGGACTTAATCCTTAAAGTCTCCCTGACGCATCCTGCTAATCTGCGGGCTGCGGTTTGCGGGCTAAATATTGCGGTATAATCTTTGCGGACTGCGGTATAATCTTTGCGGATTGCGGGCTAACATTTGCGCACGGGGTTTTGACTTTG